ATACGAAGTTGGGTAAGAGATTCAAGTATCCAAAGTGGAGAGGTCAGGTGAAACACTAGATGCTCTATTGCACTTCCCCTGCTCTTCAGAGTAAATTTGATCTCATGTTGGGAGACGGTTCATTGCCTCAAAGTTGAAACACAAAGGGTAATATACCCGACGTTGCGTCGCGGCATTAAATTGTGAGCTTGATGAGAGGCACCGAATTGGCATGAATGTTAAGTGACTTGTATGGGGGCCTCTCGGGGTCTGATGTTCCATGTTACTCCTAGGGGGATACCTTGGGTTGTGACACATTTTAATATAGCAAAAATAGAACAATTAAGATCTTGATAGAATAAAACTCAAAGTGACTTCTTTGAAGAAATTCATTAAACACTTAGGGCATAAATAGTTTTGACTAACAAAACTAAATTATTGTCTGAAAACATGGAAAACCAATGTTGGGATATTCAAATTCTACCACTATCATCTCAGCGGCCTCTCCCTCCTTCGTTGCTACCACCGTTTGCACCATTACAAGCTCTGTCGTCATCGCCAGCTAGACGTCCAACAATTAGTTGAACTTTGTGATGCTACTCTCACTTGTATTTGTCTTTTGGTGTGAATAATATTCTTATTTGGTCCTTTGTTCCAGGCTCTCCCTCCAAGATTGAAGATTCTATTATTCTTTTCGGGGAGGAATCTTCTTCTGACATTCCAACATCTTTTCATTTAAAATTATTAATGTTGTAAGAATACATAAAATATATATAAAAAAATTACAACCAAAAAAATAGTGCAACTACAAAATTAGTGGCCAAATAGCTTATGGCTAACACGTATTTTTTGATAATTCTTTTTTAAATAAGATTATATAATGTAACTTTTTTTATTCTAATGATGAGATTTATCAATTTCTAATTCCTATATTTTCTATAGTGGTTTTTTTTTTTGTTAAAAAAAACTTTTGTCTAATAGCTAGCGTAACATTAGCTTATCTTATTTTTGTGTTTGACATCCCTATTCATGAGGTTGTTCATTTCTTTACCGAGAAACTTTTTGACCTACCTCTTGCCATAGTTGTTTCTTTTCAGTTTCTTTGTTGCAGACTTTTTTTTCAAGATGGAACGTTCAACATTTCTTTTCATGGAGTGCATTTTAACAACCCCAACCTTTGGATTAATAAGAAAAACTTAATAAGAATAATGTAAATGTCTATGTCTTAACATGACAATAAAAGTTAGTTTCATATAGTTAGGAGGTCGTCATGGAAATCACTTCTTGCAGAAATGCAAGGTAAGACTTAGTAAATATTTCTTACACACACATATATATGTGCGCAAGAAAATTAGTCAAACAAGCTATAGTAGTCCAACAAAATGCAAATAATGTAAGAGCTTACTTCTTTTACTTCAGTGGTTTCTTGATCAACTTCAAACTTTGATAAACCCTTGAATACATATTTTTTTACCTCCAACATAGAACTATATTGTTTGCTCTTATGATAGTAATATTGCAATCCAACAAAGATTTTTGTTAAGAACTAATTATATATATGATTTTACAAAGTACAAATTGCACACATTACAAAGTAATTATATTGCAACCTCTCATTTTCTTGATATATAATTTGTTATAGATTCACTAGTTCTTAATTAGGATAAAAACTAGTTATATATAAAAATTCAAACAACTAAAAAAAAATATACAATACAAAATACAAATAAGTTTGAATGTGATTGTATAGTTGTAGTTTAGTAGTCCAGTTTGATATAGGAAAATAAAGTTTAATTATCGTCTCACACAAACAAAACAAATGTTCTGATTCTTTTTTCTTTCTTTTTTTTAGGAAAAAGAATCGATAAAACAAGCAATAATATAATTAAGTGGAGGATTCACGATATTGGTAGTGATCAATAAATCCAAAAAAATGTATTTACCATGTCAAATGCTCCGGATCCATTTTCACGTTGTCTCTTTTCAACTACCCATCCATGTAGCGCCTCCTTGTATTTACCGTTAAGACGATCACAAATTGGTTCTTCTGCAGGATTTTTACTAACCGCTTGTGGATTATAAATGGTGTACTATTTAACTTCACCTTTAGAAGGTTCAATTCGGAAGCTAACATTACGAAAGACTGATCTTTTCTTCTTCTCATGATCAATCAGGTTTTCTATCATGACCCAACCACTCGAGCCATGCGGGCACCCACTCTAAGACCTAAGTAGGAAAACCTTCATATCCCAAAGTTAAAATATGCGGAAAAAAATTAACGAAAAATGGAGATAAATGAAATCATAGAGTTTTTATAAGCAAAACTTTTAAACAATTTCGGGTTAAAAGTTGTAAAGTAACTAACACCCCCAAGGATCTAGTCTAAACGGGTACAAGAGCTAATAAGAGTACAAACTGGATATAATTAATAAAAGACACAACTCCTACCATGCGGAAGGAAAAGTAGAAGCTGCTGGAGAATTCTTCATCTTCATCTAATGAAGCATCACCAACCTGCATCCAAACTATGTCAAAAAGACATAGCAAGAGTAGTATCAGTACAAACCACCTGTACTGGTAGGCATCATCGGTAAACCCGATGCCCACCACATAACATAAGAAAAAAACTAGTAAGATCATGCAATAAAACCCATCGCTTCTCCACCTTTACCTTCTTGGTCAACCTACTTACTAAGTTTTTGATCACGCTAGTAATCTAACTAATAATTACCTTCTTGGTCAACCTACTTACTAAGTTCTTGATCATTGCCTAACCGTTCTAACACATAGAAAAGTTCCCAAATACAACTATAACATTCCAACTAACCGCTCACGTCAAACCCTTACTACCTCTACATATTACACAACTGTGGCCACACAGTACATTACATCAAGCTTTCTAACCACTAACCACAAATCCATTTCTCCAAAGTCAAATCCACCAAAGCACTTACATTACGTACACTATCCCCACTCCTCGCCATTACAACACATGACACCCTTTACTCGAACATTAACAATTCTTGAAACGTTGACTCCCCACCTACCGTATCACATCCTGGTTGGGTGTGTCCTTTCCGGTTCACTTTTCATCAAGGTACATATCAAGTTTACTGAACATAAAAAAACAATCAAACATAAGTCCTCATAACCATAAAACAACTCCGGGAAATACAACATCAACTATCATTACGAATAAGGTACAGTTTCACAATCCTCAAGGCATACAATTATGTCAAATCATTGGTCCTCTGAGGGAACCCAAACCCAAACTGTTAGCTTATCGGAACGTGGTACCCGATCCAAAGATTATGCTGGAACGTGGCAGTCGATCCCATAATTATGTCGGAACGTTACAATCGATCGAAGTTAGTCTGTTAGAACACAACACTCGATCCACAATAACAATGTATATCATCACAACCATACAACAAGAATGATTCACAACTTATAATTCTTCGTTCATACTTATATACATTAGGTGTGACCAACAAGCTTCGTTCACATACATGTACGTATTATAATAAAGCAAGAACAAACCTACAACACACAATCATAAAATCACCACCATTGCAATGAACTACTCATCGACGTAAATCATGTCTGCATAAATTTAGTGCATGAAGGCCTACGCATAATTCCTACCAATAATTTACATATATTACGCAGTGAGCACAAATTTATAACTACTTAATTCATAAACCTAGCCTACCTGGGCGCCAAGCAGCTGCACGAAGTTATATCTCCCATTTTGGTTTTCCAAAAATCATGACGGTGATCTTGATTGGAAATCCGCAATCCATTGACCTATTTACACTAGAAATCTCCTTCTCCTTCATTCCCAAGCTTAGAGCAGCAATCTGAGGTTTTCTAGGGTGTTCTATGACTAATTTATGTAATTTAGGAAGAAGGAGAAAATAAGATTTCGCGTTATTTACATTCTTTCTCGCCTCTCCCGCTTTGGCACCAACTTACCCTGCTGTGGTACCGCCGCCCTAGCGGCATATGTCCCGCCCGGGGTGACATTGGCCTAGTAATTTTCAATTTTTTCTCTTCCTAAATAATGACGATTCGGGTCGTTACTTTCGCAAAGATATTTCTTTCAGAAAAACTTAATATGATGAGAATACAAATATCAAAAGGTTATCTTGAAAGGAAATATCTTTTGAAAGAACTCAATTTCTACAAATTTTGAGGAATCGTATAGTTAAAAAATAACATTTTTATCTTCTCATAAGCAAGAAATTTCAAAATGTAGCCTAAGAAATTTTTATTTTTCTATAATACCCTCCCTCCCCCCTCAAACCCCCACTCCTATAAATTTTTAAATATTTTTTAGTTCAAACTTATGTGTTCACTCACTTTTAAATATGTGAAACCAAACACTTTATTAGACTCAGCAAATTAAAATGTCACATAAGCTTAGTCAAAATCAGGATAAGTAGAAGGGTCTCCTCGACCATTCCGCCTTCAACAAATAATAAATAAGTATTGACTAAATGTCCAAAATTCGTGATTTTTTTCCCTAAAAGAGCCACCTTCTACTAATAATAAATAAGTATTGACCAAATATCAAAATATCATAATTTTTTTCCTGAAAGAGTCACCTTCTACAAATAATAAATAATTATTGACCAAATATGCAAATATCATAATTTTTTTTTCTTAAAGAAATCCTATCTTATATATTTCATCCTTAACTATTTTCAAAATTAATTTTCATCTTCTCAATTTAATTACCTATATATAATCCTCGACATTTCAAGCCTCAAACCACAATACTTCTCAACTAATATTCTTGAATTTTCTTTACTTTTTTGTTTCTTATAATTCCTTTGAGAGTATCTAAAAACATGATTGATCATTAGAAGAAGAAACGATCAGTCTTTCGTAATGTTAGCTTCCGAATTGAACATTTGAAAGGTGAAGCTAACTGTTACACCATTTATAATCCACAAGCGGTTAGTACAAATCCTGCAGAAGAACCAATTTTCTATCGTCTTAACCGTAAATACAAGGAGATGCTACGTAGATGGGTAGCTGAAAAGAGACAACGTGAAAATGAATCTGGAGCATTTGACATGGTAAATATATATTTTTTGGATTTATTGATCACTACCAATATCATGAATCGTCCACTTAATTATATTATTGCCTGTTTTATCGATTCTTTTTCCTAAACGAAAGAAAGAAAAAAGAATCACAACATTTGTTTTGTTTGTGTGAGCCGATAATTAAACTTTATTTTCTTCTTTCAAACTGGACTACTAAATTTCAACTATACTATCACATGCAAACTTATTTGGATTTTATATTGTAGATTTTTTTTTAGTTGTCTGAATTTTTATATATAACTAGTTTTTATCCTAGTTAAGTACCAATGAATCTCAAACAAATTATAAATCAAGAAAATGAGAGGTTGCAGTATAATTACTTTGTAATGTGTGCAATTAGTACTTTGTAAAATCATATATATAATTAGTTCCTAACAAAAATCTTTGTTGGATTGCAATATTACTATCATAAGAGCAAAAAATATCGTTCTATTCTGGAGGTAAGAAATATGTGTTCATCGGTTTATCAAAGCTTGAAGTTGATCAAGAAGCCACTGAAGTAAAAGAGGTAAGCTCTTACATTGCATTTCTGCAAGAAGTGATTTCCATGACGACCTCCTAACTATATGACAGTAACTTTTATTGTCACGTTAATACGCAAAGACATTTACATTATTCTTACAATTTTTTTTATTTATCCAAAGGTTGGGGCTATTAAAAAGCACTCCATGAAAAGAAAAGATGAACAATCTATCTTGAAAAGGAAGTACGCAACAAAGAAACAGAAAAGCAATAATCATGGCATAAGGGAGGTCAAAAAGATTCTTGGTTAAGCAATGAACAAACTTATTAATAGGGATGTCAAACACAAAAACAAGGTAAGTTAATATTACGTTAGTTATTAGACAACAATTTTTTATACAAAAAAACCACTATAGAAAATATAAGAATTATAAATTGATAAATCTCATCATAGAACAAAAAAAAGTTATCATTATAATCTTATTTATTAACGGATTAACAATAAATTATCAAAATATAGTTGTTAACTATAAGCTATTTGACGACTAATTTTGTAGTTGCACTACATTATTTTTAGTCATATATTTTTAATCCATATTTTATGTATTCTTTTAACATTAATAATTTTAAAATTAAAGGATATTGGAATGTCAGAAGAAGACTCCTCCCCAAAAAGAAAAATAGAATATTCCATCTTAGAGGGAGATCTTGGAACAACGGAGCAAGTAAGAATATTATTTACACCAAAGGAAAAATACAAGCAAGAATATTTTCTGAATAACCTAAATTGGTGTTGGCATAGCAATGTTCAGATAATTTGGGGAGGTCTAGTTGGCGACGACAACAAAGCTAGTAATGATGCAAACGGTGGCAACAACGAATGAGGGAGATGCCAAAGAGATGATAGTTGTAGAATTTGAATATCCCAAACATTGGTTTTCCATGTTGGTGGTGGAGCTAGTAATGGTGAATTTGGTGATGTCATGGGATTTGACGAGGGTCATGTATCCGGTGCAAACAGTGGTGACAACGAAAGGAGGGAGAGACCTTGGTAGAATTTGAATATCCCAACATTTTTTTTTCATATTTTATTAGATTTTTAAGTAGAAGTATTTGTGCCCCAAGTAGTTGATGAATTTCTTGAAAGAATTTACTTTGTATTTTCTTCTATCAATAAGATTGTGTTTTTTTAATATAGGATCTTAGTTGTTCAATATTTACTAGATACAATATGTAAGGTTCAATCAAACGTTGTTTATTTTAATACAAGTAAGATTCAATCAAAATTTCTTGAAATCTAAATCTCAACTATTTGAAAAGGAATGAGGAAAACTACTTGCATTTTCGATATCAAATAGACAGAAAGCAAACCTCAAATGGCAGATACTTTTATTGAATAGTCAAATTCCTTCAAAACCACATAATCAAGACATGTAATGCTCCTAACTGTTACTAACGCACATTCTCCCAAGGAAACAACAAAAAGGACAATGTTTTGTTGGTATATAAATAGGGTTCTTATTTATTTTCTAGTGTGTGACAAGTGAAGAATATATTATTCCAAAAATAATTATATATGAAACTTATTTTCCTTATTATCTGGAAAATAATTTTGAAGGAGTTTCTTTTTCTAGAGAAATTTATTTTTAAAATATTTGACAAACCAGTTATGGAACTCAAGCGTTAGCTTTAAAAAACTTTTAAAAATTTATAACTCAAACCATATGGTTCATGTGGAATTATGAACATGAACGACTCCACTCAAGGATCTAAATATCAATAAAGAACCTCAGTACTCAAGACTTAATAATACTACTCATCCATAGACTGCTCGACTCATAGGGTTCATGCAGAATTATGGGAATGAATAACTCAACTCAAGGACTTCATGGGTAAAATGTAATAGTCCCATGATTAGGAATATAATCTCAAAAAGGTTAGGAACTCGATACTCAAGAACATAGAACTTGAAGATACTACTCCTCTCAAAGATGCTCAACTTATGAAGTTCATGTGTTGTTTATGGGCATGAATGATGCTTATCGTGACCAACGACACTAACCTACGATTCGAGTGTCTACGATCATCTATAGTATAGTAACCCAACTAAAGGTTGGGGTCGTGTCCCAAGGGAGTGGTTTTGAGAACTGATAGAAAAATAAAATTTAGCTCTAACTAGTCATAGGTAAAGACATTAACGATTAAAAATATAGTAAATTAAAGAGCGTGACACAAAAGTGTGAAATATCAATTGGGGGTTTTGCCACAAGTAGTAAAAACAACAAAGATTAACAAGAAAAATCAAGTATGGGGAAACGTTATTGGGGTGAGACCGCAATACAGGTTGAGGTAAATCGTTGGGTACATGCTTTCAATAAGAAATTTGTAAGATAATAGTGACTAGGCTAAGCTTTAAATGGAAATAATTTCCCTCTCGGGCAACTTACCCCATTTCAAATGGGTTCCTCTTGGATACCCATTTACGGCATGAAGACCAGCCTATGCCTTCCCTACTTACTCTCTCGAGCTGAGTGTTAGGATATGGGACTAGGGCTCACCCTCTCGGGCTGAACCTCATGTCGACCCACTTCTTAGGCCATCAATCTAGTGGTCTTGGTTTCGCGACCTCCCTCTCGGGCAAGCCGAAAACACATGGGTGGTTTTGTATTTGCAACTACAAACCCATTAAATTAAACCACAACCACTAGGTGAAATCACCATTAAAATAGATCTAACCTATCATCAAGCAAGACCCAACAACAATATCAACACATATTTGCTAAATCACACCGCAAGAATGGGGGTTTTTGGCCACACATCAAGAAATAACAAAATACACCTAAAATGATACTAAAATCAAATGGGTATAAGAAATTAAACCTTTATTTAAGCAAAGGAAGAAGAATGGAGAAAACCCACTTCCAACTTGGGGAAGATGAAATCCTTCTCTTTTCAATACTCCCACAAAACACTCTCCAAACTTGAGAGAAAATATGTAAAAAGTACTATTCTATTGTTAAAAGTATAATAATGGTTCGGAACTTGTAAAAATTAATAAGAAGTTTAGTATTTATAGCCATTAGAAATTAGTTTTGGCGGATAGTTGGGCGAGGTTAGTCGAGTTCGCCGAATGACTCGGTGACTCGCCCTTCTTCTGTCTCATCGTCGTTTAGTGGTTGCCTTCAACATCTTCACGTTCTTGACCATTGGGCGGTAGAGTGCTGCTTCACGGAACTATTCGGCGAAGCGCTGACTGCTCCTTTCATCCCCTTTTTGATCCTCTTCCTTCAGGGCTTCGCATACTGGAACAATGGGCAGAGTCTGCCCTTTCGGTGAATTTCCAAAGGTGCTTGGCGATGCTCAGGCTTCAACTTCTTCATTCTTTTCAGCCTTCTTGTTCCTTTTTGCGCCTAAGTGTCCATACTTCCAATAAAACTTTAAATACCTGAAACTTAAGAGTTTTCATTAGATATTGAGACAAAATAAGCATTCGAGGACACTATTTCTATCAAAATAAAGCCCTAAATGAGTCCAATTTGTGGATTCATCAATATACCCAACTTAAACTTTTTCTTGTCGTCAAGCAAACTTAAGTTCAGGCATTCAAAAAAGGTGTCTCAAATAGTGCTACACAAGACTCAATCATGAGTGCACAAAACAAGACTCAATTTACTTATCCAAGGATCAATTATGTACTCAAAGATTTAAGTTGTGACACAACATTGCTAAAGATTCTCATGCTCGCAATACTTGCTACTTGTGCAAGTTCAAGCTCAAAAAAAAGTATCTAAATGCCCTCACAAAAAGAATGATTTCATATTCACACACAGAGGTTAATCAATTCAAGATCAGGAAACAGATGCAACACTCACACTTAAAAAGAGGAACACAATGCATGTTTTCACCCATAGGTTTGCCCTTATTTTCCAATCGACTTTCGATTCGGCTTACTCAACATAAAAAAGGTCTTTATAAGGCTTGTAATGGGGATGAGTGCAAAGGTATGATCATTTAGGCTCAGTGACTTTTTCCTCGTGAACTGTGGTATTCTCAAGGCATTCCCTTCTTTTCCTTTAGCAATACTTTTTTCTAGTGCTTCTAAGTCACCTTTGTATTCACCTTCATGGATTTCTTGGAAACCTAATTTCCTTTGTACTTTATTCCACACAATTTTTTTTATTTTTTTTATAAGGGGTTTCCATTTTTAGGCAATACCATGGGTAAGGGGGACTTTTCTTACACTTCTTGACTTCTCCTTTTCCTTTTCACCACACCCCTAACTTAGGCTTTTGGCCTAAGTTGGCTATTTGCTAAACCACAAATCAAGAGGATTATAGGTAGTGGGTCAAGTAAGGTCTAGGGTTCATCAATGTTTTTCCAATGAAAGGTAAGGCTCAAAAGGTGTTCAAAAGAGTTTCACACGCTCACGGGTAGGCCACAAAAGAGGTATATGTCAAATTTGGCTCACATTCTTTAATGTTGCCTAAGATCATTTCAAGAGGACACCT